AATTTCGGTTCTCTTTAGTAAAATACTTTTCTTCATTGTTCACTGCAGTCGTGTTGGAGATTCTCCAATAGCTGGAGCAGGATCCTATGCTGATAGCACAGCTGGAGGAGCTGCAGCCACTGGAGATGGTGACACCATGATGCGTTTCTTACCCAGGTTTGTCCTTAGGGCAGACTTTGCTAGCTTTCAGAAGCAAAATGGAAGCTCAGCTAATTGTGTAGTTGACTGAAAGATTGTTTGACTTATTGGTTCTTGAAGTGGGAGAGAAAGGAATGTAAGGGGGAAGAATAGTAGCAAGATCAAGTCATCCTTACAACTTAACACTGAAATTCTGCCTAGCTGAGAGCAGACAGGCAGCAGTAACGTGTGTATTACCAACCTGCATGTTCTTTAACAGAACAGATGAGCTTTTTCTCCGAAGTGTTTTGCTATGGGAGAAATAAGTCTTATAAACTGTAGAAAATATGATGAGTGACTCTTGGATTACCAAGGAATGTAGGGAAGTGTCACTGTAAAAAGACTATGTAATATCTAATTTGAAACTGGAAGAGATGGCTTAGTGCTGTCATTGTGGCTGCATAAACTGTAAAATATGTCTGTTTACATCACTGAGTGTTGACAGTCATTCTAGTTGGCCAGTCTCAAAAGGAAAGCTTTATAGTAGCCTAAGCTGAACATAATGAGCACTGATGCTTTATGGAATCTAAAGCAGTGGCCTTCACATTACTCAAGTACTCCTTCTGAAACTCTGGCAGTTATGGATGCCTTCTGACAGATGTATATTTTTAAAAGTTGCAGTCCTGAATGAGTGTGAAACTGTTCCAAGACAGTCTTGAAATAAAAGGCAAAATAATTAACAGAGTTTATTTTTATTTATTTATATTATTTTAAGGAATCACGTACTGACAATAGTTATGAGTTGGATTTCACTATGAGGTTAATCAGTAAAAATGTACATTGTTCCTTAGCGGCCTGAAAAATTTGTTTGTAATGCTTAAAACATTTAATGTTTGCTTCAGTTAGTTTTAGAGAGCTCTGTTAAGACAGTCACAGGTTCCTTGTAGATCAGATCTTACTTAAATTCACGATATTTAAGTGTTCCCAAATAAAAATGAAGACACATTCTCACAAGAATAGAATTGATCTATCAGAAAACCAGGAGGTGTCAAATCAAGGGCAAAATTTCTAATAGTTTCTGACTGCTTTTTTTTTTTTTTTTGAGAAAGTGACATCTTACTTTGTTTTGATTATTGAGGATACCTCTCTGAAATCTAGCTATATGTTTAGATAGTTACAGTTCAATAACTTGAACCATTCCAATTATTATTAAACAACAAAGCTAATAGGGAGTCAGAGAATGCAAGGAAAGGTCTCTTCTGAGGCACTTTGATGGCATCTATAGTTAATGCTATCTGTGGATGAGTGTTTGTTAGTGTAACAAGTTGAGGTATTTATTTATGTATCTTCCATCAAGACAAAATTTAGTGCTGTTTGCTTTTGAGTAAATTATGCATTGTCATTTAATCTTCTGCTTCTGAAAGTAAACAGCAATAAAAGGTTGGATTGTCGGTAGGTTTTACCACTGATGACATCTTGGAAATGCAAGTGATCTATCTCAGAGATCTCTGCCTCTGTTGTCATTTGTAGACTGATGCAAAGGAAATTCATCTTGATTATTTTGCATTTAGAATAAGATTTATTATTATTTTTAAAATATTTTCTTACAAACATTTTGAAGGTAGCTCGGAGTCTTTATCTGAAGATGATGCCTTCATATTTATAAAAGTTTTTTTTTCAATTCTGAGTTTTTTCTGAAACTTGCGTCTCCTGGAAAATATTTTTAATGTTTTATGGAATAAACAAATAGGGGTGAGTTGTGTGTAATTTCATAGGTTGTTTTGGTGTTGTTGTTATTTATTTATTTATTTTTTAACAAATGAGATTGCCTACAGATAGGTCATTTTGAAAACTAGTAATAATTCCTCATGTGAAACTTAGTTATACATTAAAAAATAAAAGCCAGAAACTCTTCAGCTACTTTTTCACAGTTATTAAACTGATCTGTGGCTTAGCCTCTTCTGCTGCAAATGATTAGGTTACCACAGGTTTGGTCTTGCCTTAGAATAGCAAGATATTATAGATGGTAATATAGATATAGATAATAATAGATATAAGATATAGATTTATACCAATAGATGGTATAAATGACATCTTAAAATCCCTTTTAGTACTGTTTTTAATAACACTTTATTGAATAATAATTGCTGATTTGTAGTTTGTTTCCGTAACTCAAAGCACTGTAAATCTCTCAAGGTGATATCTAACCTGAGTTTGGTTAATTGTCTGGATGGGAGGTGTTTTTATTTTATTTTATTTTAATTGCTTTAGCTATCAAGCAGTGGAGTATATGAGGATGGGAACAGACCCGACAGTAGCCTGTCAGAAGGTTATTTCCAGGATTCAGAAGCATGTTCCGAAGTTCTTTGGTGCTGTTATATGTGCCAATACAACTGGAAGTTATGGTATGTGTCTTGCTCAACAGGCAAATACTGTTGACACTGAATAAGTCACAGATAAGCAAACTTTATGGTAGACTTTAAAACAGAAGTCACTTATTGCTCTTTAAATACTGCAGTGATGTGGCCGTTCCTAATATCAAAGGCTGGTCATCAGGACAACTGTCCTCATGTGAAATTGAGATATTTTAATTTCTCCTCTGCATTTTTATATTTCAGATGTTTACAATATTTATGTGAGACTTCATAAAAATCCATAATATTTACAACCTTTATGTGTTCTCCTAGATTGTGTAAGATTAATTTAAAGGTGTTTTTTTTTTTTTTTTTTTTTTTTTTTATAAATATGGCATAAGGCAGGGAGATTGTGTTTCTTAAGCATAGCTTCAAAGCAATCCAAGATCAGTCATTGTGCCAGGCATCTCATTAGCAAACTCTCAGATCAGTAGCAAATATAATTTGCTAATCAACACAGCTTATTTAGTTGGTCTGCTTATTGCCATTCTTTGATCTTTTATTTCGCATAGTTCTGTGTTTAAGAGATTAGAGTTGGAGGAACTCATTAAATTAATCGGGATTGAAAGAGATATATTTTTTTCCTAACTTATGGTACAGTTTTGAGTTGTATTATACAGTAGCACAGTATTTTTACTTTAAATACTTTCAAGATATCTTGTTTTAAACAGATTCTAAAAAAATAATTATACCATTGTGAAAGAATTAGAAATTGGGTGTTTTTTTGCTAGTGTATTTAGATTACAAAGTACTCTAATCCTAAATTTATCAAGTTATGTATTTTTTTCTTCCCTAGGTGCTGCATGTAATAAAATTCCAGGATTCACTCAGTTTCACTTCATGGTTTTTACCCCTTTGCAAAGTCAGTCTGCTGAACAAGTAGTAGATTGCATTTAATTTCTTTTACTCTTTCATCTAAACTTAGAGGGGGAAAGTGCTAAGATTCCCAAGTTATCACTTTTTAAAATATTTATTTGATTTTATTGTTTTGAAATCATGTGAACAAGTATAAATATATGTTGATGTGGATGCTTCGCAGTTCTTAATATGTTCTGTTTTCACATTGTGTAGTGTTGTTAAACTTAAGCTGTAGTTTTTTCATCTCCTTTATTTGCCAAATTATTTCTAAATGATTTCAGGGAGGTATTTTAGAGCAAGATTTAAAAAAAATAGACTCCGTGCACTTTCAGGAAAGTGGATAAAACTGCAGAATTATAGTTAGTGCTGGCATATTCACAGTTAGCACGGAAGGATTCTGCTTTGTTTAAAAATCAACATTTAAGTGAAATGGCTGAAATTAATGTGTCTCACTACTGCAGTCACTTAAGTCGGGAATTTAATAGATGTTACCTTACATCTCAACTACTTTTTGCAAATCTAACAGTCAAACTGTGGTTCTCAATACTGCACGAAGTTATCTATTGCATATTCACTTCCAAGTAATGCCACGTTTCATCCATTTTTTGGGAAGTAGAGATTTGGTCATTTGGAAAAAAGACTTTCAAAAAAGGCTCATGAAGTAGACAGGTAATCATACGGCATGTACAGAGATGAAGTGTCTAACAGCTTTTCTGTGTCTGCTTTCTTAACAGCTAAATAAACAAAAGTAGTGTATAATAACCTCTGTCTAGACATTCACTTTTCCATTTAAAAACAAGTATTTGGCAGAAATATGGAATAAAGGGCAGGAAGGAGAAAGGACTCTGTATCTACACAGGAGATTTATTTTAAGAATGTATAGTTGTTATTCTGAGATTTAGTTCCGGTTTTCCTTTCCCTTGAAAAGAAAATTACATGCAAATGTTAGCAAGCAAGGAAAGAGAATTGAAGAGTAGTGAAGATTTTGAAGTCTCAATTAAAAGATTGAGAAATGAGTGAACTTTTTTTGAAAATAGCTGAAAATGTCTTTGTATGGAGAGGAAATCCTGTTAGTACACGTTTTCAAGGAATGTTGAAATATTTTAATAGTAAATGGGATGTGAGACTGATTTTTCCACATTGTAAATTAAATTATGAATCTTAATCACAGTGATTTGTCACAAGTGTGCTGTGTGCTTACATTTTCCTATAGCATCTTACCACTGCAAACATGGAGTTACTTACCTAAAGCATGGTAGTTAAAGAAAAAAAAACAAAAACAAAAACCACAAAGCTGGTTTAATCACTTTCTTTAGCATCTTGGGGATTGTTTTAGGGGTACATGTGATCTGTGTGCAACCATGAGTTTAATAGGAAAAAATTAAAAAAAAAAAAAAAAAAAAAAAAAAAAGGGGGGTGGAAGTCAAGCAAGCAAAATGAGTACACCTTTTCAAAAACACTTGAATTCTTCTTTGTCTTTAATAAAATACTTTAATACAATGTTTTGGTAATAAAAGCACACTTCAATATATCTTTTTTTAAGTCAGGTTATTTGGTGCTTTTGTACTGTGCCTTAGAATGATTCTTACCTTATGTTCCAAGATGTATGTTAAGAGGCTGTAGAAAACATTTAAACTACGGTAGTCATCTTTAATGGTCTGCTGTTGAATTAGGTCAGAAAACTTATTTATTTGGAAGATTCACTTCTGTCACTGCAACTTTAAAGCGCCTAATAATACAGAATTCATAATAGGCCACATGAAGCTTTTGTCAAAAGAGCTCTTGTTGTATGTATCTGCAGCTGCATGTGGTGTTTTCTATCTCTCCTACCTACAGCCATTCTGCCATAGCTGCTGTATTTTAAGATGTAGTGAATGAAACAGTATCTGTACCTGTAACTTCAGGCAGTCAAGTACAAATAGGTAAGTAAAATCCCAGTGATTATTTCTTCAAAGATAATGTTGCAAATGGTGAACATAGCAGTTCAGTTCTGCAGCGAGCGAATCCAGGATTTATTTTTCTGAGAGCTTGAGAACATTGATGACATGCTTTCTAGTGTGTTTATGTCACTGTGTTAGCTAGCATAAACAGAAGTTATGATTACATGCTGAAAGTACTCTGTAGAAGTGTATTTAAAGTCACTGAGTTAGAGTCCTAACTTTCTGCATAGTCTGCTCATCCATACCTGAGAAAAAATTACTCATCTCCGTGGGAGATACGTATTTAATACATGCAGTTTAATGGTGTAAATTGCTTTGTCATGCTGATTTAGTTATAAATGACTGGATTAGCACTTGCAAGTTAGTGACAGGGTTGAATGCCTCACGTCTGTGTTTTTTTTTTTTTTTTTGTTTGTTTTTTTAAGTCATTGTTTAAAGTTCATTAGCTTCAAGCTAACCTGCTTCTTTCTAATGCTTCCTACCAAATTATCATTTCATTTCTGATGTAATGGGGGAAGGAAACACCTTGGTGATACCTTTACATTTACTCTAGCTCTGATATGGAAGTGATATATGTTAAGCATTGAACTACAAATGTTCTTGCTAGGGGGTCTATTCATTCTTGTACATAAGTTCCATTAAGTTTACAGCAAAACAGCATTGCTAAATAACTACAGAGCAGATGTGACAGAATCTCAGGATTTTATGACCAGTTTCATTGATATTGTTTGAGCTGCTGAGTCAAGTGGCAAACACTTTTAGATGTTTGTGTATTTAGCAATATTTGCTGTGTTCTTTTCTTTTTTTTCTTTTCTTTTTTTTTCTTTTCTTTTTTTTCTTTTCTTTTTTTTTCTTTTCTTTTTTTTCTTTTCTTTTTTTTTTTTCTTTTCCCAGCCAGCTGGAAGCAATGTAGGTGAATTCACCTGCTGGTACAATACTCTTGATGTGATTAGCTGGTATTTACAGTGACAGGTGCTGATATGTGAAATAAAAGCAATTAGCAGCTTCAGAGTGTGCCAGTTGCTGTGAGATTTCCTCTTACTGGTGGTTTTATTCTTTTTTTTTTTTTTTTTTTCTTAGTAGGACAGGGGAATAAGCATTTGAAAGATGTTCATTTTATTTTTAATTATTCTTTTTCTCAGGTAGAGTTTTACAAAAACAAATGCATTGTAAATATGAAGGCTTTTTACTGTTTAGAAATGATGAGCTCTTGTAACACTGCTGCATATTTTCCAGGCAGAATCCAAATTATGTTTCAGCTGGAATCTCATTTGCTGCCAGATCTTACTTGTTTTGATTGCTTCTATTGTTTAAAACATAAAAAACTGTGAGTTCTGGCACTTGAACATAGTTGCAAAGTTGAGTTGTGTTTTAAATTTATACCTTCTTAGCATTTGTCATTTGAAGATCTTAAGGAAGAACAACTCTATTTTAGCAATACTAATGGTAAAGTTGGTGTATTTGAATATTCTTAGGTACAGATAGAAAGAACCTTCACTTGCCTACTTTTAGAAGATTTAGGCAGACAGAGATTGTTATAAAATCTAACTCTCCAAATGGGAGGAATGCTTTTGTGAAAGTGACAGCCTAAGTGAGACTTCATGATTATATTTGCAAACTGTGTTAACCTTCATAGTATGTGGGGGGTAACCGATCATGGAAAGTACAGCATGGTGCTCTGACTTTGGCTCTTCTAGTTGTTATGAGATTAAATGTTTAAAATACTTCTTTATTGGGAAGTATTTAAAAGAAATGAAATTATATGTTTACATATACACATTTACAGGTTAAAGTAATGTTTCATAGTGTTAAATAACCATAATATTAAATCAGCTTGTAATTGGAAAACAGAAATGGGAAATATAGCTAAGTAGTTTCTCTCATGTAGAGTTTTATAATCTGGATGTTTTATTATTTGGAAGTGTCAAGTATGTTTGCCTTCCTGTTAATTTCCACAGGCTATGTTACTGCATTCGTTTTATTCATAACCTTCACTTAAATTGTTTAATAGGTTCTCTGCTATTGCACAGGACCTTAGTAAAATAGATTCTGCTCAGCTGTGTGCCGTAAATTAGGTTTTTAGTCAAGTTGTTTTCTTTTGTCACCAAAACTGTCCTGTGTGCTTTCCTGCCCAGCGAAAAGACTTTTTGTTTGTAAGTAGAAAACATATTTAGGGTTACCTATTGAACTAATTAGTGACTTAGTGATTTAAATGATGACTATATAAGCTGCGTTTTTGAGCAAATTGAGAGACAGTATCACGTTAGATTGCATGATGGCACTTAGGATTATTCTAAGCTAGGTCGTAAATGCTTGTTCATGAATAGTCAATTTATGGTATATATTATTTACAGAGTACCATGTGACAGGCTATTTGACAATAAAAATGTGTTCTTGTGATTCTTGCTTAACATTGCTCCTGGATATTCACTGTTATGAGAAAAATTCCATGGCAAATTATAATAATCTCTGAGAATGAAGTTTTGATTGGCAAGGTGATGCATAGGAAAGTACAAAGCAACTAAAACTTTGCATAAATTAATATTTGTATCAGTGGCGCTCTTTCTGGGAATTAAGAAGTGACATGGAATTAATTTGCCTGTTTTTGTTGCCTAATCAATTCTTAAGTTACGATTTTTTCTTAAGGATTTACAGTAATAGATGAAATACAGCACTGTAGATTAAAAGGGTGAATGTAAAATTTATTGTAAACGTGTTTAATTCATGTACAGTAATGTTTTTTTTTTTGTTGTTGTTGTTGTTAATTTGGTTGTTACTGAAGACTAATTTCCATGTTGTGGAGTAGAAAAGGAATTATATTAGAGTAGCTGCAATGCCAACAAACAGTAAATGTTGAAATCCAATTTCTTGCTATTCTCATGAACCTGTCAACGTGAAATGACACACGATCTTGCTGCTTGGCCATAATTTTAACTATTTCAGTTACTGCTTAGTCGAAGTGGTAGCTTCGTGGAATGAGACTTTGGGCAGGTGACATCACTATTGCACAGGCTTAAGGATGCTAACAGCTTTATGTGATGTTTTTTTCCTTCTTGTCTGCTCTCTTTTCTGGTTGTTACTTTTCTGCCAGTCCTGATTTAGGAGGTGCAGAATGATTCAGGATGTGCACCTGAGCATCCTCATGCCAGATCCAGCAGTCTTAAATTCTCTGGCCTCCATCTGCAGTTTGCACAGAATAGCAGATGCCTGCATCCCTGTCCAATGGTTCTGCTGTGGGGTTCATAATTGCTGACTGAAGAGCAGTAACAAATAGCTCTGCAGCAGTTCGGTTACATCTTTTTGGAGGAGTATCTGTCACATCCCCTCAGGTACGTGTAGAATATCATCTTACGCTTCTATGTGCATAGCTTGTGTGGTAGTGAAATCCAACAAAAGTGGTAATGAAATAGTGGTGGTGGTAATAGTGGAAATAGTGGTGGAAATAGTGGTGGAAATAGTGGTGGTAATGAAATCCAACAAAAGCCATTATACTGCACAGAGAGTGATTAGCTGGTAAGGTGCTGAAGATAAGGCTAAGTTTCGAGCTTTGTCCAACTTTGATGCTTGATTTCAGTTAGGTCAAGGTTTTGGTGCCTGTGAAGGAGTGATGATACTTCCACCCTCCCAGTATGCATTTATGTAATTGGTTCTGGTGATTTTGCAGTCCAAAAAAATAAGCATCAGCTTGCTTGTCTGGCAGAAAACCTTTTTTTTTAAAAAAAAAAAAAAAATAATAATAATAATAATTTTTTTTAGCCCTTTCTTGGAGTGGGGGTAAACAGGCTGTTTTGTTCATTTGTCACGCAGCTGCTAATACCTACACAAAGCATAATGCAGGAAGAGAAAAAGCATATGCAGTAGGAAACTGAGGAATGCAGTAAGTTTTTCAGCTGGTGACAGTACATTTTCACATTGGCGAAAGTAACTTCCTCACAGCTTTTCTGCACACTGAATTAAGGTGCCTGTCTTTCAACAGGCTTCGTGATTCAGCCCTCAATCCCACCCTAGCTATTTCTCCCCAGTAAAATTCAGAGAAGTGAGAAATAAGGATTTCTATCAAGAATTCCCACTTCAGGTAGAGTTCTCATCAACAAGCTGTTGTCATGTTTCTCTTCTGTCTTGTCATATCTTCCTCTTCAGTCTTTTTAAGTTGTTAATTCTTTAGTATACATTTTCCACCTTCAAAATGGGTAAGTGCAGAACCTCCGTGCAGCAGATTTTTTTAATGCCTTTCTCTTGATTAAAATATGAATTTGATTTCCCCATAAGGAGGTTGTATGACTCAAAATGTCATATTTCAAAGCAACTGAGGTTTCACAATGCTCTTGTGAAAATGTGACCACTGTGAATTCTTGACTATGTAATTGAAAATCACTGTGCTTTATACTCTGTGTAAATACTACCTTGTTTTTGGCTGACTGCTGTATTTGAACTCTTTGGGGGTGGGAGCGGGGGGAGGGTGGGAGCAAGGGGTTTATCACAGGGTTGTTTGGTTACTGAATCATGAAGACGTTTAGACCTGAGATAAGTGCCTGTTTGCTCAGCTGAGCTAGGTCCAATTGCATTCAAAAATAGATCTACAACTCTAACTTAATTTGAAAAATCAAGTATCTTTCAGAGTTGAGAATAGAAATTCATCTTGCATAAAGTTTTATAACAGTGATGTAGTATGTCGGTGTGATAACGTAAGTGCTAATGCCAGATAAATATTCCATCATTTCAAATTGCTATTGACTAGCCATGTGGGTGGAACCTTTCCCTTAGTACAATCACAAATGGGATGGAGAATGTATAGGAATCTCAGAGATGGTTCCCAACGTGCTCTTTTGTAAACTAGAGCTGTTATGAGCTCTGTACGCCACTCTCTAGCGATGAGCGGACTTGAGTTCTACTGCGGGTTGGTGGCTCAGCCTGTAGAGCTGCCACAGAAGTGGAAGCTTGAAAGCAGCATACTGAGGTATGGAGTTTATTTGCTGCCCAGTATCATTCCTGTTCCCAGGAAACAATGCCAACCTCAGTGACAAATTTTTCATCAGTAATTTTGATCAAGAAGCCTAAGTGATCTTTAAATAGAAATTGAAGGTAATCACCTAAGCTGTCATTAAAAGGTTCATCTCAATCAGCAGAGCCTGCTAGCTGATTGTCACTTGAAGCCTCGCAATTAACAAAATGACTGGTGTTTTTGACCAAATAGCTGAATGTGGCTTGATTAATAGTGCTGTCTCGAGAATGGCCTTTTTCAGTATTTATTACCATCAGAACTGTCAATCCTGCATACTGTGTTATGTTGAAGAGACTTTGTGATAGATATAGGTGAGTGGTTGTATGTAAAATAGGCTTTAGCTGGCCCTTGGAGATTTAAGTAACAAAGTTCAAGTGCTTGAATTTCTTCATGTGCTTCATTTATTGATATAGTATTAAATCAAAAATAAAGTTAATTCATCTGTGGATTCGAGAGACTTTGAATTTGAAATTAATGGGCACTAGCTAAAGCTGGAGCAGTGAGTAAAGAAAAAATATTATTTGTTTTGATTTGCAGCAGTACCTAATTTATTACATGTGAACGAGCATCACACTTGCTGTGAGCTGGGACTTTCTAAATAATGTTTTGAGTGTACAATTAGTGATCTAACTGCTCTGTTGGTTTCTTTTTTTTTTTTTTTTTTTTTTTTGCCTCCTTTTTTGTTAACCAAATTAAAATTTTAGGGTTTTGTGTTTTTTTTTTTTTTTTTTTTTTTTTTTTTTTTAAACCTGCCTGAATTCCACCTTGTCTATTTTACCCCATAAGTACTTAAAGTTCTGTAGATACTGGCTGCTCGCATAGAATTCCAATTCTGTGTTTCAGTATTATAATAATTCCTGTCCTACCATACTATACTACATATGAAACAAGTAATAATTTACAAAAGCTTCAACTATTTATATTCTGTTGTTGCTGTAGTAGCTGCATACCTGAATAGTTTAGGAGCATAGAATTTTTTATCCTTTTTGCACTGCTGTGTAGGAGCAAACAAGGTGTGAAGCTCTGTAGCCTGACTGCAGTGGGATCAGCTCCTACTTGAGTTGCGTAGTATGTATATGCAATTTTCTTTGAAAATCTTTATTTGCTGTGCATAAACTACAAACTAATGGAGTACAAATGAATTTGTACATGAAGATGTGATGTTCAAGCTGCTATGCTAAGGCCCACTTTGAGTATTTTTGCAGATAGCTGGAATCAGCCTCGAGTACAGATCTGTCAGCAAAATGTATGCATAGGCCAGTTTTTAATTCAGTTTAGTGTGCGGTTATATTCACTCATAAACTGAGGCTGAACACTGTTCAGTCTGAGCTCAGTACAAAATAGAGAGTATTTCCAGCCTTTTCTAAATGGATCTTGAACATATGTTCTGAATATTTAAGTGAAAATTGGACATAGTAAACAACCTTTCAAATATTGAAGGAATAAAAATAAATACTTGCAGGATATTGCAGGATATGCTAGATGTTTAACTTGAGCTTTCATCACCAAATGTCAGTACAAGTGTAGCTGACAACAAGTGAAATTGCATAGCGCAGGACACAGGGATGAGTTGAATAGAGTCTTAAATCTTCCAGCAAGGAGATTTTCTTTAGAGAAAAAGAAGGCCTGCAGTTGCTATGAAGTCTGTGAAAGACTTTGCAATGCCTTTTGATTTCATGTGAAAGTAATGAACATTTCATGCACACATTTAGCAGATGAAAGGATGGCATCGTCCACTTCTTTGAACATCCCGTTCTCCCATCAAACTAAAACACTTTTCGTTGTTTTCCATTTCAGAAAAATAAGTGAGAACCAGGGCTACATTTTACACAGATGGGTGGATGCAGATGTAAAGTTGTATATAATAGAAAAGGTCTGTATTTGCAGCTGTGACATAGTCATGACTCAAAACTTGAGTACGTATTTTAGGTGCAACTTTATTATTCAGTGAATTAGTAATGTAAGACCATTACTCTAGGTCTCAGTCTATTTGCTGGATTCATATTGCCATCAAATGGTAGTTGTGCATATATAGGTTAAGAAAAACATATGCCTTTAACAAATAGCTGATAATAAAAGTAGTTTAAATAAGGACACAAAGGGCTGAAGGTAGGAAAAGTGTGTGATTCTAACCTATGTCAACTGGAAAATAAATATTACTTTGAAAGTGAAAGATGTATTCTGCTTAAATTTAAACTGTGATAGTAACTAAATTGCCTGCTGTAAAGCAAAAAATAGGTATGGCATTAGGGTTTTCTAGGTTTAGTCTTTACTTCACATCTTGTGATCTCGGTTTGATGCTCTATGAGGATTGCTTTGTCACAGAGCTAGAAAATTGTTCAATACAAACTTCAATTGTGAGTCATGCTGTCACATGTTATAATGCTGATGTCTAAAAAAATCTCCAAAAATTGTAAGAGTATTTATGAACAAAATCTTCCAGTAAAGTTAGCTATAGAGCTGCAATTATCTTCTTGTTTGAAATGTATCAAGCCAAGGAAGCTTATGTGAGCCTGTCAGTTTTGACAGCTTCCTGCAGAAACTTGTAACACAGCTTGTTTCTTTGCTATGTACAGATGCAGGAAGTTAAAGTAACAACTCTATGTCAGAATCCCAAAGCCTTTGAAAATGACTACATTTTTAGACTGCTTACAATAGATTTCATGAAGAACAGAAATCAGGAAACTTTTGGGATAGACAGTTCCTTCTTTTGACTATCACTTTATCGCTCTTTTTATCTCCCACAGCTGTTCGTATACAACACAACATCCAAAAAGGTAAGCAATATAAGAATCTGAAGTATGTGTATTTATTTCATCATTTGCACTGTAATAGATAAACTGATGTGAAAACAAAACCACAACAGCCTCATTTGTAAAATACTAGGACAAAAGGCAAAATCAGGACTTCTGAACAAACGAGATCGTTTCAAGAACCACCTACTGCTTTGAACCCTTGGTTGCTTTTCTTTTGAGGAGGATGTATTTTAAGTTTTATTGCAACTTTATTAAAACCTTTTTTTAATATCAAATATGAGCCACAGCTTGTTAAACAAGCAGTATAATGCTCTCCTTCCCTAAGGAGGAGGAAAAATAGCAGGCTGGAGGGGAAAAAATGCATTGGCAGAAGCAGTAAGTTATGCAGAGACAGGTAGTGATCTAGAATTAACTGTCTTTTATTTAGTCTCTTGCTTCACTGGAGTACAAACATCTTAGATTCCTCTATGTGCTGGTTTGATTAGCTTTAGCTGTCCTTGCTGTTTGCCATTTACATTTTCACTGACATGTTGTGACATATAGTTGTTAAAACTTCATATATGCAACCAGCTCTGATTACTTCAACTGGATAGCCTGTGCTAGCCTATTATGTTATATTTGAGATAATAAACATAAGTTAGCACATGTTAACAGTTGTAGTTTAGGCAAACAGAAAACAGCAGCAATTAGATGTTTCGGAAGTTGTTTTTTTTTTTGAATAAAAATTGTTTAAAAGATAAAACATTGTTTTAATAATAACATCTAGATGATTTCTCATGCATTTGAAGTATTCAGACTTCAGGAGAAATTACTTTTTAAATGGATGAACCACTGATCGGGACAAAATATTACACTTCCTTAGTTTAAGCTGGACAGAATACACATTTCATTGAAGAATGGTAAATGCACTTTATATATTACTGCTGTGTTGTCCAGGTTAATTTTTCATATTGCTTATGCATTTACTTATTTTTACACACAGCATGTTCTGGAAATAAGGAAATAAAGAAAGTAACTGCAGTAGTTAATAAAAGCAGTTAATCCTTTAAAGCTAGTATGTGTTATATGTAAACAAATATTCATTTACTTCTTGTCTCACGGGTAAGATTTAAAAAGAGACAGCCTGTTATCTTTGAAGTGTCAAAGTCTGAAAAAGTCACTCAAGTTCTAGCTTTGCATTTGTTAAAGGCAAATGATCAAAAGTAGTTGTATTTTTCATGTTTAGCTGAACCATTGAAGATTTATCCCTGTGCAAGACACCCAACCACATGTAAAAATAATCACCTTCTCATAATAACGAATTGTAAAAATAAGACAGTTCTAAAGATTTAGATATATAACCCAAATTAGCTTAGAACAGTGATGTACCATCATAGCAATAAGTATCATTGGTGTCTTTTATATAAAAAGTCTTCACCATGTGAAGTAGCTTGTTTTGTTCTTAGATAGGGTTCAGTACCCCACTTTAAACAGGCTTCATGAAAGATATATACGAGTTGGAAAGAATCCACCAAGCAACATAAAATTATACTTTCTACAGCCTGATTTTTTTTTTTTTTTTTTAAAAGGAAGATTACCATCACGTAAGGAAACATTTAAAGGTCTTGAAAGATGGCATAGGCTACTGAAAAGAGAAAGAAGAAAGTCTCCTCTGAAGTTGATGGCAAGGACAAAAATTAATTGGTTTCACTCACAGCGTGGCATTGAGGCTTTAAACTGGACTCTAGTTCCACAGATTTCTCAGGAAAATTAAGTTTTCTTTAATTCCAAGTACCATCTTCCCTGCAAGTCCTTCCAACCAAAAAAACTTAGAAAAGCAATATTGAGCAATTGTAAACCATTTACAAGTTTTCAGTTGTGTTTTAACCACCCAAGTGGAATGGTCTGGAATGGTTTTATTACACATTTAACACAGATTAGGGAAGAAGATTGAATAGCAACCAGAATCAAATGTTAAGATCCAGATTTAAAACATATAATTAAGAAAAACGCAGAGTCATGTTATTAACTGTGGGGCAGTGTGTGTCTGTTTTCCAAATCTAGGAAGGTCAAACATCCAGCTACGGTAAAATTTAAAATGTACAGTCTGTTGTTTCTTTTCAAGCTCTGAAGAAATAAAGCGTGAAGCTATATTGAAGAGGCCAGTAAATTTTATTCATTAAATACCTGTTTATAAGACTACCAATTTGAAGTACAAATTCAGATTAAGATCCATTCCATAATGCATATCAGCTTGAAAATGTGCAGTGCTGACAGTGCAGTGACATTTACATGAAAAATAGAAAGCGATTCAATTATTTGACTGGAAATATAACTGTGTGTCACAATATATTGCAAGTTAGTATGCAGTATACAAGCAGTGTTTAATGTTATAGGACTTTTTAAAATTGGGATAGAGTAATCTGTAGTTTTTACTTAGTTATGGGAGCAATTTGACTAATCAATCAGAGAACAGGAAAAACAGGTGACAACAAAACAGAAATGACCAATGAGAGTTGTACTTATCTATTTCTTAGGATGTCTTAGATAATGATATCATCAAGGAGTAGACTGTGTAATTGGCTTATTTTCTGCCCACTGAAAAAAGCCACACTGTTTTTCCTTTCCTAATGGGCACACAAAGAAATTCCTTCCATTATTGGGACCAAGCTTCAGCACCATCCTCATAACGCATCGCTTGCCATGGTGACAAAATGGAAAATTCAAGTCAGCCCACTGTCAAAAGAAACAATTTTTAGATATGGTTTTATCATATATGTTGGCTCTGAGCTCATTATTTTAAAATTAAAAATGGAGATGGATCTACAAGAGAGGCCTTAACAGAAATTCTTGCTACTAAGTGTAGTCTGATCTCTCCAGTGATCAGTGCACTGTATACATTTTAATTGGTGTTAAATATTATAACTAGGCTTTGTAAGTTTAATTGATGTTAATGCACAGTTTTCTACAAATTAAGGCATCATAGTCATTACTGACTTAAATTCATATATTCTTTCTGTTGGTAGGTGACCTAAGCTCTTCCCTTTCATGTACATTCACGCAGCGAGACGCTGAGACCACAGGTTGCAGCCATGAAGGCTGGGTTGCACAGCAGTGCAGCTGTGAAAGCAACAGTCCAGACAGACTACAGTGTGTGTAGTCTGTCTAATGTGTGCCCTCAGAGGTTTTCAAGATTTTGTCTTGACAGAGACATAGCTGATGTCCAGATCTAAGGTTTGCAGCACTCCTTCAACCCAGAGGCTGAAGATAACTGAGCTGTACAAGTCTCTCCAAATCGATAATTCTATTATGCATCTGCCTTACATTATGCTGAAGTAGATCAAGAGCATTTGCACAATAGGTATGTTTTCAGATGTAAGAGAAGTAACTGAAACAATAAGCTTACAGTCATGATTATGCATGATTAGTTTCAATTCAGTGTGAACAGATATGATTCATTAAAAGCAAGAGATAATTTTAAACACTTGTGCACAGTTATAGATGGTTGGGGTGAGGTGGCTGCATGAAAAAGTGATTGAATTAAGGAAAAAATGGGAAACATTACAGGCTGTGAAGTCGTATACTTACTTGAAAATAGTTGCACCGAGTTTCTGTGGGTAGAGGACAGCTATAAAACATCCTGCCCTTGTTTTCCCCATCCTTCCTCACAATTCTGAGTTTGCAGAGGTGACCGTGTTTACTGCAATGAGGAGGGCCTGTGTGCAGTGTATGAATATCATCTGTTGAATTAACTTGAGGTTTGCTGTAATGACAGGTAACAAAATGACTTGTGCATATTGTTAAAGGGATTACCAACACCACAGCCAAGGAACTCTCTCCTATTGTTGTTATAACATGCTCAGTGCACATTTGCATGTAATGACAGACAAAGAACTTGATTCTCTAATACAGCTTATTGCTCCTTTAAAGCTGAATGATAATGGGGAGTGAATAAACTAATCTAGAAGGTATCATATCAGCTTTGCCCAGCATTGGTTTTAAGCTATTTCAATGTATTCCTAACTTCAACTACAACACAAAAATCATACTACCTACGTTATACTGCCCACCCTAAATCCCACCCAATATTAAAAGAATATTCTGCTTTTGGTAGGAGAAAGATCAATACTAAGTAATTAGTCAAAGTTAAAGGTAGTTGTATGCATCCCAGAATTCTCCTATTCTCTTTACTAAAAAAATTACTGTAATGCTTGTATTCTGACAAGTAATCCGGCTAAGGGAAGGGAACAGTGCTGTCTGGTTTCTCTCTCTTGATTGAGGTATGGATTATGTGAATGCAATACGAGGTTTTATTTAGATAATGGTAACACGAAGAAGAATACTTATGCTCTTTGAAATATTTCTAATATATTTATAAATCCAATTTACAGAGCAGAATAGCAGTGATGAAGCCACAGGGAAAGCTGAAAAGATCAATTAGCTATTTACTTTCTTGTGAAGTTTTCAGCTTGGGAAATTTGTCTGGAAGATTATAGTCTTGTAGGTAAAGTTTTATTCCAATACCTCATTAAAACATTCTCTCTATGCCTCATCAGGAAAAAACAAAACCAAAATCCCACGAAACTCCCACACTTCATGTACTTTGTGGTTCAAAGTTTGTTTTCTGTAATATCTAAGTTGGTGGCCTTAGATAACTATCTGATATTGTTATTGATATCCAATTTATTCTTTGTGTTCTCTTATTCTCATCCCATCTACATCTTTCCTCTGTAGTCTTCTACTGAGAAAGCAAGTAGAATGCTTTTTCACAGAGCACCAACTTGCTAGTAAGGGCCAGTTTCAAAATTGATGCTTCAACAGTGCATTAAATAACTTCTGTATTTCAGAACAGACATAGGACCAAGAATTCTGCAGTGTATCACAAACATCTTTCACATTCCCCCTGCGTAATTTACCACCGTCAGTGAAATCTACTGTGCACTCCCATTACTGCTGTATATGTCTGCCCAAGTTTTCCTTAACAATCCTATCATGTTCTCACATTTCACTGTGAGTGGGTATGTCTGTAGAGGCTGTGTAACTTAAAATTCAGGATGGGTGGAGCATTGAAGTAATTGCATATAGGATAGGGAGGGAAGAGAAAATAGTGACAGTAGGTTCATTAAGTTAACTTGAACAGAAGTTTGTATCATGGAGAGAAGTTGAAAATTGCTAGCTGACAAATACTTTCAACTAAAATACACAAGCAATTCAGTTTCTTTATGGTATGAGAATTCACACATTTAAGTGAAATACTAAATCCATCTCTAGCACCTTTAACTTATTTTTAGATAGCTAGCACATTTTAAGAGTGTTCCATTATCTACCTGTTTCTCTTTAGGTTATAATTAAGAAACATGTTGAGAATACATTCTTTTGCAAATAATGAAAGAAAGCAAAAGACTAAAGATCCTGTGTTTACACAAGGAAAACAAGTTAATAATCAAGACAGTAGAGAAAAAAAAAAAAAAAATCACCTGCCTAATAAGCGCTTCAGTTTATATGCTTGTTATATTCCATGATGATTTCAAGGTTTCTCCAAACAAACAGTGAAGGCAAGCAGCAATCAGACAACTCCTTTGGTAGAACTGTGCTAGTTTACCTATTTGAGCAAATCTTTCCTATTCAAGGGAATACCTGCACTATGAACAGCTGTTCAATTAACAGCAGTACTGGCCAGATGCCAAACTCAGGACTTTTCCAGCAATAGCCTAGATCCTTCAGTGCTTTTGAGGTCTCAGTGTAGTTTTAGTTACTCGAGAGGAAATTACCTTCAGCAGAAATGCAAAGACAACACTGCGTGAACTCTACTACACAATATTCCATTAATCTTCAAGGATAAAGATGGTTTATGTAATTACAAAATAACAAAACTTGTTTGTATTTTAGAATACATACCCAATTGTTACATTATATTGGTGAACAGAAGATACGTGATGAGTTTTCTGCTTCTTCTTTGCGGGCTTGAAAGAGGGAGGCTCCTGACCAGAAGATGAAGCCAGAGAAGTTACATTTGTTGAGCAATACTTGTCTATGCTTATTCCTGAGTGGTAGACGTTATTTTGATTCTGGCTGAGATTGCCTTTTGGAGCAACATACTCAGAGCATCCATCTGGTAATTGGATATCACCTTTCAATTCTGCTTTATTACCAAGATCTGTTAAGACAAGAGTGGTAGTTCCAAATGCAGCCTTCCTGTTGATCTTTATTTCTCTGCTTGGTTTTCTGAAGTCATTACAAGGGTATTTAATGAGATTTATGTTAAAGTCTGTGGAATCTTCAACATTCTCTGTCTTCAATGAAGAACTCACTATACAAAATGTGAAATAAGTACACCATTAGTTCTTGAGGTAGAAAAGTTTAAGTATGGAATGATTATAGGATTCTAACACCTAACACCACACATGCATAACTCTAAACTTTGTTCCTTTTTTGTTCCTACAAGACTCTTGACTCAAATAACTTGCTGTAAATCCCTTCACTGAACTTTTTAATCACTTTTCTATAAAAGGTGAAGGAGAATACAAAGTTACTCTTCAGAGAGAAAACAGGTCTCAGTGGGGTCTGTCCACTACCTCTTTTATCTCTTCTTAATATCTAAACACAGGAATCTGCACAGAAGGTAGCAATCTTTGTGTGCCTTTATAGGTCTCATTCACATCTGCTTTCTGCCCGCAGAGGTCTAGATAGGAGCATTAAAACTCCAGTAGGAGATATCAACAAATTTAGTCCAAAATCCTCCTTAATCTGAACTCAGAGGAAAACAAAACAAAACACTAGCTCCTGAGAAATCCAGCAGTGCTTTGGAAAGGGTACCAAAATATCTACTCCCCTTCTGGTTTTGTTCATGTGAAGGAATGTGAGTTATTTCTCTGCACCACTGATGATTTCTCTTCCAGGCTTTTGCTGCAAATGTCTAACAATTTTAATCAGAGTTTGAAGTATGGTATTTTGTTTCACTCCTTGCTCCAGCAAAAATAAACGATCACCACAGAGACTTGTCTATAGAATCCCCATCTGCAAATAAAGCTGGAAGGCAAGACACATCTAGGGTTTAAGATGAGACAGTTTCTATGATCATCTGTGTAAGATTTCCTCCAAATCTGACTTTAAGTCTGCTAAAGTTACATAAATACAATTCACAGTAAGTCATTTCTCCAGTTCTATAGTTCTAAAAACTGCACCAAAACCACAACCCTCCTTTCCCCAGTATGGGCTCTAGGCAACCTTTCAATACCTTCAGGCCTTGAAGTCAAACAGGCATCACAAGCTTCAGCAGAAGGCTTGTTTATTAGGGTACAGGGCATACACGTCCACTCTTCTTCACATTTCTGAGCTATGTGTTCATTAGAACATGACCCCCTGCCACATGCCCAGCCAATTAGGCTATTTCTAGTTGGCAGTTTGCTGTGAAACAGAAGAATGATGTTAGTCTTTTGTGACGTTTCCTCCACAAATTACCTTACATTGCTATGTTCAGGAAGGCAAGAACCTAGAGAAAAAGCAGAACAGCATGCTATACCTGCCTAACAACATGTCACTATAAGAGTTTGATTTTCTTCTTTACCTAAAGGGCAAATCTTTCCCAAGCAATACAAATATTCAAACTAACACTGACAAAAAGTTAACAGTCAACAGAGACACTCTGCAACACAGTGCTCCAGCATCTCTCACTTTCCCTACTGTTCTTGAATAGAGTAGCAAGAAATTTGGCAAGAAAGGACAACCACTTCTGTACATTTCCCCCCATCCATTGTGCAGAATATTTGAATATTTACAAACAGATGATTACTGAATGAAGAACTAATTGGAAGTTGCTACAGTCACACAATCTAACAAATTTCAACAATTTTTGTTCTCTCTTGTAAATGGCATCCATTAGACCACTTTGTTGTCATGAAAGCCAACAGAATTGAAAATGTTAAAGTTATAAAATCTTTCTTTTGTCTCTCCATTTCCTAATTTTTTTTTAGTTTTAAACATTTAGGTACTTGTTCAGTTATAACTGGTAAGACAAAGCTGTACTGCAAATGCTTCTATAGAGTTTTTCTGTAGTTATTTTTCCTTTAAATTACTGTATTCATATGTTGGTACATTTATGTAGAACCATAGTTACTGTTCTAGTCACTGCATGCTATGAAGGACTAGTTTTGTCGTACTATTCAAAAATTGTTTGCATGCAAAATGAAATTATCAGTTCAGTGACATGCAAAGTTTTAGGTACTGCATTTACTAAGTCATCAAACATTTGTCTCTGTAGTTGGTGAACTGTTGTGACACTCTTTAGACTTATACTTACTCTATAATTATCATTCTTCTTAACAGACTAGGTATCTAAAAATGTTTTCTTATTTTCCCCTACCAATAGTTGAGAAATCTACCACAGCTCTTTCACAAAATGATAAAGAGGAGTTATAGTAGATATTACAGTATCATTGCCAATATATTGGGGTAGATAACAAAACAGCCTAACTAGTAATTTAAAAATACCCATTTTTAATACAGTCTAATAATTTCTACTACTCAGCTGTCAAATAAGCATTATCAGACTGAAATTATTCAGCTGTCTTCTTTACAAGTGTAATACTCCTCCCCATTAACATTTTTCCCATATTTCACTGTCTAAAAATGTATTTTAAAGATTCAAGGTACTCTTGAATTTGATGAAGTTGCTTATAATGGGTCCTGTCTTTATTTTGTCATTTGAGCAAAAACATAAGCTACTGGACTTAACCCAGGAATCACTGAGTTAAATTCTACAGTTCATGAGCTATAGCAGGTCAGTTTGATTACGTAGGCTCCTGTTCACCTTCAAACATGAGAAAGTTAGACTTGCAGAAAAGCCACCTGAGAGACAGGGACACTTTAAAGTGGTAAAAGTTACTGTGTAGCAGAAAGAGCAGTATAATGAAGCAGTCTGACCATAAAGATGAAGACAATACTGGAAACAGCCTTGCAGGGAGGTCACTCTGAAAGCATGCCTCTTATTTATTTCTGAGGAACTTCCACAGATTTGAAGAACATAGTAGCACTACCTGACAGAGCAGATTTTCAGCTACAAAACACTATTTTTCAGAGTCATTACCAGTAGCTGCCTGTTTTCATCACTGATGAATGAGAGCTCGCATACCACTCATACAAAAATCCGCATGGCTGTCAGAACATGGCTTGTCTTTCACTTCACTGTTGCCAGTTCTGAAAATAAGAGAAAATACTTCCAGAGTGGCCTTCATGTTTCTATCGCTACAATTACCACAACTTTAACTAAAATATACCACTGCTTAATTGTTTGTTTTCAGAAAGACAGTGATTTTTCTAGAATGGAGAGAAAGTTATTTCTTCCCCTTGCATAATTTCGTGGTTGCGTGACTCAGTAGAACATTTCCACCTCCCTACTGTTTTTCAAAGTACTTCTCATAACTTTCAGAGAAAAAAAAACAACACAGGAGATTGGTTGTTATCAGCATGTGAAATATTTATCTTCTATGCTGGAATTTTCTATGTTTGATCTGCACTGAGAAGTGATTTTTAAGCTTTAAGCAGAATCCCTTTTGCCATCTGATTCCTGAAAGAAAGTTGGAAGTGAGGGTGGCAGAGTAAAATAATTTGGTGTAAAACTTCTATATTTTTCTGTAAATCTTATTAAAAAAACCTCTCTATGTACACATATATCCATGCACACACACAAACACACACTAATGAAAACAAAGTTTTTTAAATGGAAATTGTGTCTTTCATCAGACTGACAGAGCTCAATACAAAAAAAAGCAAGATTGAGGCCTCAGATGAAAATTTTTCTAGAATAACTTAGGTGCGGAAGAATCCCTGAGTAAGGCGCTTTTGAAACTTTTACCTTTTGTGATATCAAACTCTTCTGTGATATCAAACGCATTTTGTGCTTTTTCTGAAATAAAAGGAAGGCTGCTGCTAGCATAAATTATACGGAACTGAAAGTCTCTGTGGCACACTTATAGTAAAAGCTTTCCAGAACTGTTAAGGAGGAAAAAAAAAGTCTGAAGTTCTACAGTACTTTCTGCATTCTGAATTTACTTTCCTTAGTTTTCCTCAGTATCTCTCTACGTCTAGAACAAAATTATGTGAACGTAGTTGCTTAGATATTCCCGAGGGCCTTCCTACAAGAAAGAAAGAGACACAGATTCTTACCTTCCTCATGCCATTCAACTCACTGACATGTAAGCATCCAAGCCTATTACGTTTCTAACTGAGAAGAGAGAACAACTTTTCTAATAGCAGTGAATAATTCTGAGTACTTTCTGTTGTTTTTATGATTTTCACGTTTGATTAGCTAGTTTACAACAGAAGGGATCTTTAAGACAAGTATTGTAATCAAAGCTTTTAACCATTTTTAATAAGTACAACTGAGCTTAGATACAAAACACATACTGGTTTGCATGCAGCCATTCTATTTGCTTTCTGTTTCTTTCTTGTTAACATAACAGCACTTTCAGGACACCAGTACTTCAGTGTTATAAAGATATCATCATACCTAACATTGACAAGCTGGGGATCAGCCTTTTGACATCGAGAGCAGAAGTAAGTCATCCTGTTATTCTCTCCTAAACGACACACAGTGATTTTCTCATTGCACTGACCGCAGGTTTGGCGCCTGTATACTTTGTAGTGTTTGTAGAGTGGAGACCCAGTTTTGCGGCACTAAAATAGAGCATGTTTAAAACCCAAGTTACAGATACTATATAAATTATGGTAGGTTTTCCACAGCTCATCTGAAACTAAACTAAACTAAAAAAAAATAGCTGTGCAGACTAAAGCTTAATGACTAAACAAAGAAATTAGAGGCATGTCCATGAGGGCTACATCCTGTATTTCATCTTCTTTTATTTCAAAAATTGACATTTAATCTGGTATATCATTGTATATCAATATTATATCAAAATTTTCTGAATATTGGAACGAAGAAAGAAAGACACAAAAAGACATACTAGCATGGCATCAGCAGACATATGCTAGGGATCCCTTGCGTTTAGATGGACCATCTAGCTTTGATTTAACACCAGCCTTCTTTGACCTGTCAGCTGCAAAAATAAACTGGGAGAGCTCATGAGCTCCAATCTACACAGCAGAGAAAATGAGTAGGAGTCAGCTCGAGCTCAGTAAAGTTCAACAACAGAATCGCAGAATCGCAAGATTGGAAACGACCTGCAAGATCATCAGTTTCATCCTAGTGCTCATCACACCAGACAGGCTGGCTTGTGAAATGCTAGTTGGCACAATGGCAAGATCCCCAACCCCAAGAGCTGGCAGAAAGTCACGTTAAAGTAAGAACAGAACAAACTCAAAGGGCACAGTGACCTAATGAGACCCCAAAGAGCTGAAAAGCAGGAATATTTCATGAGACAGTTCATGCGAAGTCAACACAGGCATACCCCAGCTAAAACTGATAGAAGGAAAAAAAGTAAAATCAGGAAGAGCCCAGTAGAGATACAGCCAGTAATTCAGTCAGAAGGACTTACTGATAAAGTGTTTGTATGAATATTCACAAACAATTTTTTTTTTTTTTTTGTAAATTTCTCCATTAGAAGTCCATTTTTTATTATTTTTTATTGGTTATTAAAACCAGAAAAAACAACAGCTTACTACATGAACTAGGTCCCACATATTTGTATCTATAAGATATTAAACTACAAATGAAAGTGTAGAATGATTACTACAAGAATTACCAGTATATACTAACATTCTATAAACAGTGATCATCACTACCACATATTAATCTGTTCTTGTTATGTTTTTATCTTCAAGAGGCTTCAGGGGCAAGTTCATCCTTAAAATGTACTTAGCTGATGAATACTTGGTAGGTTTAGTTATAAAAATTTAAGACAAGTAAACTGAGCTACAGAAAATGTAAATTGTTTATTGTTAGTCTAAATGCTTGTGACAATGCCTACCTTTAGTATTGTACGCTGATGCAGAACCACTTGCTCTCTCTTTATTACTGGGCTTCCCTATGAAGTTTGGATGATGAAAAGATTCTAAATCTAGCTAGATTAAATCACTACTCTTTGACAGGTTAACAGAAAGCAGAGATTTAAATAGACTAAAATGAATTACATTTATAACCACTACCATTGTAAGAATGGTAAGGAATGTTAAATCTTTTTCTCCTATCTTACCAAAAAGAACTTCTAGCAACATTAGCTCCTTGTCTTTGAAGAACTTTGAGAAACAGACAAGCATTTCATTCCTCCACGTGCAGCTTAAAGAAAAACATACAAACAAAAAAGCAGCAACATACAAGAATTAGGCCCAGTTCTTTCATTCTGTTTTGCAAAGAGGAAGAGCCACCAGGAATTACAGGGTTGACAAGAGAAGAAATAAAATCCTATTGAATGGCAGTAAGGAACAGCTTGAGTTTATTTTGCTTTATCAACCAAGGAAACTGTCACAGTTAGGAAGAAATTGTTGTTAGGATTTACAATGTATTCACTCATATAAATGTACTTGTTTCAAGTTTCATAAAGCTGCATTAATTGAATTCCTATAAAAATTCCCAGGGGCAACCTCTAGCTCCTAGTTTGAAGAGTTGTCACCTTACATGCATGTGCATAACCTATATTAATTCTGACACATGCAGAGTGACTTTATATGTACAGCAAAACTGTACTGAATTGGCCCACATGTCACTCTTCCTGCTGCAACTGGGCCAAATTTCTGCACATTCTTACAGTCTGTATTTCCCCACTCTTCCATCTCTTGACAGTTCACAATAAAATGCAAAGCAAGACTCCTATTCACTGAAACACTTCTTTTGTTTCATTTCTTTTCCTCTTTCCCCTGGCTGATCAAATACAGCTGTGATGCTGTAAATCAAGTTTTGGAGGTTTCTTAGAAATCTGTCCATACCTTATAAAAAAACAGGGTAAAGTCACGTGTCATTTTCACCAAGTGACGTATATGCTCATCTGTCAATTGGCAAACCTGCAAATGAAACAAATATGATTTTTACAATATTGCTATATTAATTGACATCAGTAAAGAGATCGGTATAGACACAGGCACTCCAAACACCTTCCAATGAGTTCTCCTAACAAGGGAAAAATAGTACACTTTCATATCATAGACCACACAAACTCATTATGTGAGTAACAAATAATGTACTTTGCTTCAATCATGCAAAATATTAGCTAAAAACTTCAGTGGTCTACCTCTTTATTGACCTAAGAGTTCCTGATCATAGAAATCATATGAGCCAGCAACTCTGAATTCACTCTGCTGGGAATATGGAGAGGACTCCTCTTGAACCTAGAACTCACTTCAAATGGATAGTCATTATATCCATGAATGTAATCATACAGCTCTAATTAGGGTTAAAATTCAGACTGATTCTATGAAGAACTTCCAGAAATACTATGTTTAACAATAACTCCTACTATTTTCACCTGCTTTCCTCTGCATTTTATGTAATCTCAATTTCCTTTGCTAATTCTACAGAATTAGGTACAGAAAAACACAAGAGCAAAGAAATCCCAGGCATTCTTAATTTTATTTATAGGCTGACAATTTAAAGGCAGCACAACACAATGCTGGACAAAGTCAGGACTTTAAATTAATTCCCTAGAAAAGAAGTTCCAAGCTGGAAGACAGGCTTGGTGCAATAAGTGTCTAACCTGGGAGACAGGAACAACAGTAACAGGTTTCAAGGAAAGCTGTATCAAGTTCTTCTAATCAGAATGATGGAACTACAATTTAGGTAATGATAGATGAGAAAACAAAGGAAGATTAGAAGATAACAAAATTTTATATAAATATATATTTATTCTCCTAATACTTTGGGATAATTGAAAACAATCTTGATGCAATCCACCTACTTTAGCAGCTGGATGGAGACCGCTGTCAAATAGTGCTTCGTTTTTTATGATATTTCCAACTCCAGGTAATACTGTTTGATCCAGTAACACATCACATAACATCTGGGTTTTCTGCTGCTTTACTTCACTTTCTGCTCTTAAGAAGCTAAACTTTGGAGAGCAGACATCCAAGCTTTCCATCATTCTTACTTTCTGCTCACACTCTGCTACATTTCTGGAAGAGAAAAACCAACAAAAATGTATATATTTTTAATCTTACTTGCAATTTAGCAACTTTAAAAAAAAACCACAGTATATGAAAGTGTAAAGGTTATTATTTGCAGATAACACAAAACATGAAAATACCACTCATGGGAAGAGTCACAGAAATTATATACCCCCCCCCCGGCACAAGACAGTTCAATGATACATACGTAGAACATACAAGTATCTGTCCAACATACAAGTAATCATCCTAATTTGGCTCAAATTAGCTTGAAAACTAGTTAAATCTATTTGCAATATAAGAATCGTGTTTGGATCATCAACCATAAGATATACGGGTACATGGCTTCAGCAGGTTTTCAACATGACAAGAAAATATATTGTCTTAATTCTTGATTATTTTTTAGGCTAACTACAATCAAACTGAAGAACGTATAGTTGCAAGAAAATACAGTAGAAGCTATCTCAGTCTTGCAGAAGCGTATCTGTTCCATAATATTAAACTTACATATGGTATAGATATATTACTTGATTTTACATGTTCCTTTTCACCCAACAATTTAAAATGCTTTAAAATTAAGCTTGCTACATTAGTTTTATTACCAGCAGGAAGTACAGTGCTAAAGGACAAATATAGCTGCACAACATTAATTAGTAAAACCATACCAAATTGCTGTCACAAAAACCCAACAAACATAACCTTGGGGCCACAAAAGTTTGAAAACAGTAATTGCTACAGATACTTATTCTTGCTAAGAAAGTTACATTTAAAATTAAAGAAGTAATGGGTTTTAGCTTTCAGATCGAAGGACTGAATTAAATCCAAGTTTCATTCCCAGACTCGACAATATCTAATGAGGCTATGGTATAGAACTGCTTTAGCTCCTTGCAAACTGCGATACAAAAGTGACAAAATTAATTTCCATATCAATAAACATTATAGTAAGTTTTTATTTATTTATTTTATCTATGATGGCTTTCAGCCAAACAATTAACACTGTCTGATTTTTATTTTTTACTTCATTCTTAGAAGAATGTTATAAACCAAGCTGTGTTTTTTTTCCTCTTTTGTTGTTTTCTGTTGTCATTTAAAGTTGGTTAGTTTCTGCCTTACCTATACTCTACTGTCACCTCAAAGAAACAAATAGTATCTTCTATAAGTTGTATCTCCAAAACTGGTAATGCTCCATTTCTGTCTTTACTTCCATCAGGATTAATGCGCATGGAACCATTCATACCAAAGTGAATCCTTGGAAAGAAAGAAAATTCTTATGGGTATTTAATCTTAACAATGTTTTCAAGCATTTGCTAGTCTAGTTTTTATAGTTAGGAGCTGTTCTCACCTAACCAAGACAGTATGCATGTACATAAATTCTAGTCATTAAGAGAAACATTACTCAGTAGTTTTCAAAGGCCCACGACCAAGGCTTTCTTCTTACAAATCAGTTCAGTTAGTTTAGTTATTCCAGCTGCATCTGCTTCTGTTACCTATTTACAGTTCTGAAGTGCCATTAACCAGTCAAGAAAAGTATAAACCAAAATATTGCACTAAAACTTCCAGAAAGTTCCTTTTTTAAAAGACTACATTCACTGTAATAGCTGATCATTTCATTAGCCAAGCCTCACTACACTGTTTAAAAGAAACGTTAAAGTCACAGTCAGCCATGATGAGAAAAATAATTCATGATCATCGCTACGTTTATGTTAGAAGGCCTTAAGAAAGTTATAAGATTTCACTCCATTGTGTTTCATTACCTTTGATGTGCTGAAATCAAGTAAAACAGAATTCTTTTTTTAATTACAAATAGAAAAAAAAAAAACACTAATTAAACTTAGGATGTATTATTCAATTATAGCTAGTAGTAAGATGGTGATTTTTTTGTTGTTTTAAAGTAAAAAGATAAGTTTTTGGAATTAGTGCCATACAGCATTGGAAGACTGCTTTAATTCGATCTACTCTTTGCCTAAGGGTTCACTAGCAATGCATTCCCCCTCAAAAACATCATCTTATGAAAGCCTGGAGAATATGGCCATCTTAAAGCTGCAGTTAGTTAAATCTTCTACACAACATGAATGGGTTCTTAAACCATCAGGACCTTCTTAAATCATCAATAATACTCTAGAATGAACTTTGAGTGATGAGCCTTTTGATATACTGTGTTAACTACTGTACTGAAAGTAGCATTATAGATTAATGACTCCACTACAAATTGCTACGGAGAGTTACAGAGAGTTTCAAGCATTTAAAGTGAGGCTGTACAGAAGTTTCTCCATAACACTAACTTTCCAAATCTCTGGACAAGAACAAAAAGATCCCCTGAAAACGCATAGTAATTTTTTCATCTCTTACCTCAAAGCTTTTTGATCAAAATACATAAAAAATTCCTTTCCCAGTGTTTCCACACCCTTGAAAACTTGTCCAGTAAGGAAATCATGACTAGAGGTTCTCTCCTCACTTGCAGCAGTCTGAAAATGAGCACACAAAAAGATTAAAACAGAGTGAACAAACACTGAACTTCACAAGTTTCTGACAGTTTATTTTCCTCACCTGTCAAGGTCCCTCTTTGTGGGGACTCAAGGACTCTGGAGGTCCCTTTCTGCAGTTATTAATTTAGTAGAAAAACAACAATTTTTTTTTTTTTTTTTTTTGCATGACATGAACACCATTTACTTCACCTGTTACAGAAATAAGAAAGCACTCTCATTTCACCCTTACATCAACTGTTAACCCCTTCTAATAAAGGTATTTGAGTAAAATACTATGCAGCAAGATTTCTTTTTACTTCCGTTCAGGTTTGTTTAAAACAAACCAGAGTAAGAAGTGACAGGCATGAAAAATGAACTTGACATTCAAAATATTCCAAGATAAACCCTTGCAACTTCAGCACTAATAGCACAGCATGGGTCCCCTTAGTACTCTTTCAGCAGTGACCAAAGCCTCAGCTATGGTTTACAGACTACGATGGCCATTTCCTGATGAATAAAGGCAACCCGAGGTGAGCTCTTCTGCAGTACATAATGAGCACAGAATGGAATTGTTTCTCTATGAAATTAGAACGGTAACTCCTTACTTTTAAACGGCTTAGTCCTAAGGGACACAAAACTACAGACTAATCTGTTGATGGCATAACTTAAACAGATTTATCTAGAACTGCACTCTTTCTTAAGTCTGTTTAGGCATTACCTTTCCAAACCTTAATCACAAGTTCTCGTACCCTGCCTTATCTACACCAAAAGAGATGTATACATGCCGGGGGACTCCCCAGCCGTCTATTCGGGGATACCCAGCACACTTACGATGAAAGTACACACAGCCCCTCGCAGCAAAGCGCAAACAGGTGTTGCAAACAACCCCAACCACACCCCTAATGAGAGCCAGACTATATCCCAACCCGTTTCCCCACCGCAAAGGTTCACAAGCCCCAGCAAGGTCTGAACCGAAGCAAACGAGAGAGTCTCTGAAAGCTCTCCCCCATCCTGGCGGGACCCAGCACCACGCACACCCAAGAATTCGAGCTGACACCCAGTTCCTCACCGCAGCGCGAGCCTCAGCCGGCAGAGCGCTGCCCCGCGCGCTGCGCACCGCCTGACCCTGGCGCACTCGCGCCCGCAGCCGCTCCGCGAACAGCGCGCAGCACGGGCCCTCCACCATGTCGCCGCCTCTTCCCTTCAAATCTCCCGCCCGCTGTGGGGTGGAGCTGCCGAGGGAGGATACGACTGCGTTAGCTAAGAATAACCCGGCATATCCCTAAAGGGCCCCGACGGGCGGGCTGGGCACGTCACCGCGTTGTTTGCACTCGCGGTTTGCACTCGTGGTTTGCAAGTCACGCGTTGCTTGCAGCCCCGCTCCGCTCGGCACGCGGTGTGGTTTGAATCTGGAACCGTTGTAACGGCTAGGAACAAAAGCCGTATGAATGTTAAGCTTTGTTCTGCGAGACCCTTCAGAGAAAACATGGTATATCTTATTTATTTTTGTTCTTCGGAATGCAGTTCTAATGCCTTCTTGTCGTAGAATGGTTTGGGCTGGAAGGGACCCTTAAGATCATGTCGTTCCAACCCCCTTCTGTAGGCAGAGACACCTCCCATGGAACAGGTTGCTCACAGCCCCGTGCAACCTGGCCTTGAATGCTTCCAAGGAGGAGGTATCCACAGCCTCACTGGGCAACCTGTTCTGGTGTCTCACCATCCTCACAGTAAAGAATTTATTTCTAATATCCAGTATAAATCTACCCTCTTCCAGTTTAAAGCCATTTCCCCTCATCCTGGAGCTGCATGCGCTTATAAAATGCCTGATTAGTGATTGCAGTCCTCCTTTTGTTCCCCAAAACAATCTTGCAAGTGCATCTTTTTGTAGGACTAACAATGCACAACTGGAAACTAATTTCAGCCCTTAAAGGAATCAATATTTAACAGGCTTTTGCAGCCAGTTCAAGTCTGTGTACACATGGAAGATGTTCTTTTTCCTGCTGCTGTTTAGGTAAAACTGGATACAATGAACTCCACAAGATAAACAAAGTACTGAAGGATCTTAGGATCAAAGATAGAGGATTGGATGCTATTTCCTAACATGCACCTCATGGGGTGTACTCAAGCATCTCTGTAATGATTATTTCTTGCATACACATTTTGTACCCAGTCTTCTATCAAGGCTCAGGCCTTGATTACAATGTGTGCTATTCCTGAAAGGATGACTGCTATTTCCCTTAGGGGGTATAACTAAATGAAGTTTACCAAAATAAAAATATGAATTCAGATATGCTACTGAATGAACTTAGTATACACTACTATAAAATTAGGATATACTAATAAATGTAATCCCTTTCCACTTCTTTTTTATTTTTTTTTCTAGTCATCATTATAATTTTAAACAATAACTATGAGCGAATCAAACTCACTAGTCAGAGAGCAAAGATCCGAGATGTGGAGAAACTTAAACTGATTCTTCTGCTGTTCCCACGCTCTTCCTACCTTACTGTTTTTCCTAGGCAGTTAGAAATCGGTGGTTAACATATTTTTCTATATTCACATGTAAACACCTTAAAAATATACCAACAACTCCTATTATTTTGTTATCAAATATATTGTATTTTGTGTTCTGTGAGTTCATAACAGGATATTTTTCTGTGAATGTCTTCTGCAATGTGTTGCTGCAGGTTGGGCTTTAAATTTCACATCTAATTTCCAATTAGACATTCCAATGCTAACAATTTAATGAGGTTCTACCCCCTTTCCTGCTCATGTATACAAATGAATTTTAGAGAATCTGCAATATCTCAACTATTGCATGCACTAGAAGTTGAGCTCAAGCTTCGTACAAAGTGTATTAAAGTGTCCAGTGGTGGTTGATAAAGATTTGGGACTTTCTTTACTTTAAGAAAAGAATTTAGGAATGCATTTGAAACAGAAGGAGGCAGCACAGTAACAGATACCAGTCTGACTGTTTTATGGTTTCAAACAATCAACAATGAGCAACAATCAATGATTTTGTCCCAGTGTGAAGGACCTCCAGAATAGCAGCTGAATGAGCAACAGTATTTGAGCAAAATTACTGCTAATAAAGATTTTAAATAAAGTAGTAGTGCAGTCAAGATAGAAATACATAACAACTTATGTTTTACAGAGTTCTAACTACAGTAATTTTAGCTGCATTGCAGCAGTAGTTTCTCAAGTCAGGAAGTATCAGTTGCTGCCATTCAGTTTCGGTACTTTAGTTCCAAGTTACTTAGACCAAGGGGAAGGTGTTTTGTAAGAGGCAAGTTTTAAAAGGTGGCTGAAGGACTGTATACAATATAAAAGTTTTTTGTTTAATTTATGTCAGAGTTCTTTGCTAGAATATAACATTTTGTGGCAGGTAATTTCATCAGCAGTTGTTTACACATTATTTTGACTTTGAAAAATCCAATGGCCACAAGAAATAATCTCTCCCACAGGTAATTAAATGTGCAGATTTCAAGAACAAACTAGCAAATAAATTCCACTAGAGTATAAGTTTAATATTTGGCTATTTTTTACTTCCCGTCTTCTGTTCCGACAATGAAATCCCATCATTCTACTGTACTGTGATGATGGATATGGCAAATAATGTAAAATCACCTGCAGTGAAAGGTAAAACTTTCTTTTGAAGCAGAAAATGAGTGTATCTACATATGCTCATAAATTTGTCCCAGTATTATAGTTGTTTGCACAGCTGCCCATGTTGCATTTCCCAGTGGCATTCTCAGGCACCATTTCTTGATTTATTTATGTGTTTGCAATATTTACATTCATACATTAGCATACTGTAGAACAATGTGCTCAGAACTGGACACTCTTATTGTTACTGCCATAGTTGAGACATTATTGCGGTTATGATCCCATTAGAAAATAAAAAGGTACATTTGTTTTAAAAATTTCAGATTTCCTAGAATTATGAAAAGAGCATATATCCTTTCATTTGTTTCCATTTTCCAGAACTTGCATGCAAGTGCTGATTCACTGCCTTGCTGTACTAATTTGTGTTGTAGGACATTTGATATAAAATTGATGTGATCAGTTTGCAAGAGTAGAGCTCCAAACATGCAAATGCTCCAACTTTGTGTTTTATGTGCATTTGCTCCCTAGGATTAATGTATTCTCTCTAGAGCACTGGTGCACAGTTTAAATACATATGGGAAAAAAAAAAAAAAAAAAAAGATGGTGGCAAGGAATATTATTGTATGGCAAAATAATTTAATTGAAATGGAATGTAATTTTAAGCCATTCTAAAATTCAATTTCTCTGAATGAAACACAAGAGAACAGAAATATGCAGAAGAGAAACAGTCTCTTCTCTAAGCAGAAGCACAGGGTTTGTTTGTTTGTTTGTTTGTTTGTTTTTGTTTCTTTCCTGGCTAGTTAAATTGTACAGTGAACTGCAAAGACATTCCATTTATGATAGCAAAATTTTGTATGAGAACTAGTAAGCAGTGAATAGTGGATAGTTTACCTGTTTCGTGCCTAGAGAGTTAATGTGAACGGTTAAACACACTTAAAGTTACTCATCATGTAATCCTAGTGAAATCCTTCCTAAACCCTGTAAAAACATTCCCAAATCCTTCTAAATTAAGTTTGTTAATACAATTAATCCGAATTGGTGTGTTGTGCAGGGAGTGTTATGGTTTCCTGGTCTGCCAGGGTATTCTGAAGGTCATGCAGTTTTGATATGGAGACATGGTTAATTTGATTTTTGGTAGTTACCTAAAAATAAATAATGTCTTGACTGGTGGGGTCCTTTTGTAAGATAGGATTTTGTACCTCCATTAGAGAAAACATATTACAGTAACTTTTAACAGCTCCATGTATAGTAAACTAAAGATATATACTAGGAGGAGCTTTCAAAATTGTATTAAAATATAAAAATAAGATTATTAAGCTGTCAATGACAGTTTCAGTCTGGGAATTTCCTGCATTTATGCTGTTACATATTTATCTGCAGTCACAGGAAAGTGCTAGGGCTTGTGTACTGTTCTCCCTAAACAAGGACTGTGGACTGAGAATGTTTTTGTTTAATGGATTACAAGAGGGACAGCTGAGTCTTTGTAGTAACATTCCAGTTTATTCCAGCTGAAAAATGGACACACAGAAATGTGTTCTTAAAATTCCAATGCGTATGCTACACAAGAAAGTCATTTTCTAATTTATACATTTAACATATTGTAATTTAAGTGGCCAAAACAGAACATGAGATAGACAGAGAATGCAAATCATACGTAGACTTTTTCACAAAAATATTGTTCACAACAGTGCAAGGACTTCCTTGACTAATATTTAACAGAGTCATCTGTAAATGAGTGACTGTAAGGAAGTCACTTGGCAAAAATATCTTATCTCCACATCAGTTCTTGATTTCCCTACAGATGATCAAATATTAATAATCTTTGAAAGCATTGACTAGTTTTATATACTAGTTTTCAGCAGAGTAATTTTGCCTTTTTTCAAGAATAGAAAATTAGGTGTGGATCGATTTTTAAATACCAAAATTGGTAAGTATTTCTTGCAAGTACTGCATTTCAGCCTTCATTTGAAAAAAAAAATAAAATAATTGAGTAAATCAAAGAGTTACATCCACAAGTAGACATGGGCTTAAAGAGAGAGAAGCAAGCTATTCACTTTGCTGAAAGTTCAGTAATCAGTTCATTGCCTGTTATATTTGTAAAGTAATGCAAACCCTGAACTCCCTGTGTAATCAATGGCCAAAGGTGGGCACCTCACCAGGCAATGATTTAGGGCAGAGGCCTCATTGGGTCTTAGCTATGCAGGAAGTAGTGCTTGTTCCTGCTGCTGTACACCCTGCTGCATTACATCAAGCAGTTGGATATTTCCTTATGCAGTCTAAGGAGACAGCTGTGCCTACAAGCATGATTCACACGTTTGCTGAGCAGAACAACTGAACACACTAGAGAATTGCATGGTTGCTCCTCAGCACTCTGCATTCATAGTAGTAAAGCATTTCTTTGTTTAGATACTCAAACAAACAAAATTACCAAAAAAGAGAATATGTCAGCTTCTCTCTTTATTCAAGCTATTAAAGCAATCTCTTGATACCTGGGTAAACTAGTGGAGCATCCTTTCCTGGGAACTTGGGAGAAGTTGATTCTAGAGTTTCAAACTTCTGAGGAAACATGCAGGAAACAGA